ATATATATATATATAATTATATATATATATATAAATATAAAACTTATTTGTGTTTGTGTGTTGTGTGTGTCTGCCTATCTCTCTCTCTCTCTGCTCTCTCTCTCTCTCTCTCTCTCTCTCTCTCATCTCTCTTCTCTCTCTCTCTCTCTCTCTCTCTCTCTCTCTCTCTCTCTCTCTCTCTCTCTCTCTCCTCTCTCTTCTCTCTCTCTCTCTCTCTCTCTCTCTCTCTCTCTCTCTCTCTTCTCTCTCTCACTCTCTCTCTCTCTCTCTCTCTCTCTCTCTCTCTCTTCTCTCTCCTCTCTCTCTCTCTCTCTCTCTCTCTCTCTCTCTCTCTCTCTTCTCACTCTCACTCACTCACTCTCTCCTCTCTCTCTCTCTCTCTCTCTCTCTCTCTCTCTCTCTCTCTCTCTCTCTCTCTCTCTCTCTCTCTCTCTCTCTCTCTTCTCTCTCTCTCTCTCTCTCTCTCTCTCTCTCTCTCTCTCTCTCTCTCCTTCTCAGGTTTAATCGTTGATTAAGCTATCTCGCCTCTGCTGCCACGAATTTGGTTAGCATACCACGATGTGAAACAAAACAAATAAACCAATAAGCAACTGATAAATTTTTTTTCAATCAAATCACAAAAAAACAATCAAGACATTACAAGACAATGGAATACAGGGTATTATATAACGAAATAAACAATGCTTCAAATCGATCTAAATTAAATACATAAATCTGTAAAAAAAATAAAAAAAAAAAAAAAAAAAACTCAAGCCATTACGTAAAAAAGAAACAGGATACAGATTTCAAAAAGAACAACGTATCATATCTCAAAAAATAAATAAAAATGTTAATTAAGTTAATGGAAAAAGAGACATTAATAACTAAACGCAAGTGTTGCCAGAAATAGCAGTAAGTAGGAGAGGGTTTTTCGTCTTACTCCGCTAATAAACAATTTTTTTTTTTGCGGAGTTGGTAAGACTTTTCTTTTCTTTTTTTCGGAAAAGGTGAAAGTTAGGAAAGTTTTTGATCTTGTGATGGGAATTATTAGTGTACGCTTGTTCTGATACTGGTATAAGTAATTAAGGTTTTTAACGATCGTCTTATACACACGCACACACACACACACACACACACACACACATATAATATATATATTATCAATATATATATATATATATAATATATATATATATATATATATATATATATATGTATATATATAGATAGATAGATAGATAGATAGATAGATAGATATATATAGATATAGATAGATATAGATATATATAATATATATATATATATATATCATTGTATACATATATATGTATATTAATTATATATCTATGTTTATATATATAATATATATATATGTGTGTGTGTGTGTGTGTGTGTGTGTTGTGTGTGTGTGTGTGCGTGTGTGTGTGTGTGTGTGTGTGTTGTGTTTGCTCGGCGCCCATCCCTCGGTGTCCCAGTTCGTTAAACGGTCCGGATAACGCTGACGATTTCGCCGAGAATATCTTGCAGATTGCTACTTCGTTCGTTGTACAAATTGTGTAAATGTCCATAAGCTTGTCCCGGTTTCAGTGTCTATTTTTTATTTATTTTTATTCATTTTTTGTCCTTATGTGTGTGTGTGTGGCGTTTATATGCACATACAACAGGAGCAAGCAGAAGCCAACAAAATAGAATCAAAAAGCAACCCAAGAAACAAGACAGAATAGAAAATAAAAAAAAAATTAAAAAAAAACACACAAAATAAGACAAACAAAGAGCAATCCACGAAACAAGACAATAAAAGCAACCCACGAAACTAGACAGAATAAAAATAAAAAATAAAATAAAAAAAACACACAAAACAAGACAAAACAAAAAGCAATCCCACGAAAACAAGGCAATAAAAAAGCAACCCACGAAACTAGACAGAATAAAAAATAAAAAATAAATAAAAAAAACACACAAAACAAGACAAACAAAAAGCAATCCACGAAACAAGACAATCAACACGAAACAAGACAATAAAAAAAATCCACGAAACAAGACAATAAAAAAGAAATCCACGAAACAAGACAGATTTATAAAATAAGATAAAATAAAAATAAAAAATAAAAAAAAAAGACAGGATCAAAAACCAACCCACAAAACTAGACAGAACCCAAAAACCAACCCCCGAAACAAGACAGGATAGAGAAGTTTCCCACAAAACAAACTAGAATAAAAAGGGCAACCCAAGAAATAAGACAAAATAAACAAAAGAAACCGACCCCCGAAACAACAAACAAAAACCAAACCACAAAACAAAGAACCCAAAACCAACCCACGAAACGAGCCCGAATGACGTCACGACGCGACTCCGCGCCAGAGACGACCGTCGAAGCCGAGCCCGACGCCAGTCAGCCGGACACGCGACCGAGGACACCGGGGCGAGCGAGTCCGCCGCCTCCTGCAGGATGTAAGAGGCGGTCTTGGGGGCGTTGCCATGACGACCAGCATCGCCGTCCCCAGATCCTTCGCTCGGGAG